GAGGAGAGATCAGGATTTACTGGGACCTGATTCTGTCCCCTTTTAACACGTGTCAGTTACTAATACATTGTCTCTCAAACTGCGTCTTTGCATCACACTAGCCAAAGAGTGGTCTGGCAAAGTGAACAAAGGGGTGAGGAGGGCAGCAGATGGAGGGAACAGGTAGAAAGTTTTAACGATTTGAAAAAGGGGGTGTGTTTGTTTTTTAATGAACTGGTAAAGCAAAGCACGTGTTTAAAAAGGAGTAAATCTAAAGTATATTGATTCTTTAGAAATCTTAGAATTTTTTTTTTGACTAATCATGGACGTACACTAACTATTGCAGGTAGAGTAGGCTGGTTAAAAATTTAGGCACAGGCAGATTAGGGAGGAAGGTCAAGCCTCCTTGATTTGAGGCTGAGGGAATCCCTCTGGCTGGAGCCGGAGCCGGAGCTATTTTCTCTACCTCCTGTTGGCTGAGAGGCTGCAGCCCAGGCTTGGAGGGGCTGAGCTGGGCTCACAGAGGGACCCACTGCTTTGACCTCGCCACCTGATGCTCCCCAGCATGCTGCATGTTTAGGTGAGTGAGAGGAGGACTATGATGCCATAGTGGTCCCTCAGGTCACCTCTGCAGAGAAAAGCTCTGCCTTCACTGCCTTAAATGCTGCTCTGGACCACAGAGCAGCTGCAGTACGACAGTGCGTGTCCTCCCTCAACCCCGGCCATCTCCTAGCCCTCAGGTCCCTGGCTAGAAGATTCCATGTATGAAAACTAAACTACTTAGTTATTTAGGAGCAACTGGTGATTTAATGAACTGGGCTTGATGATAATTTCTTATATATTCTTTAACTTTTGATGAGATGAAATAAAAAATACCCAAAATGAGTTGTTTTTTTGAAGGTTTAAAAGGAGTGTTCACAGTGAGGAATGACAGTCGTTCACATGTTAATTTAAACCAAATTATAATAATAACATTTGTGTAGTGTTTTACAGAGTACCTTTACGTAGATGATTGCATTTGATACTGATTTCCTATAGGATCCCAGGAAGGTGGGAAAGCTCCCCCACTTTTTACATTGGCCTGGCCACCCTCAGGCAACCAGCAGGATCAGAGACCGTCCTCCTTCCACCATCCCTGCTAAGGCGGATTTTGCCCAGTTGGGTTCCAAGGTGCCATTTCTACGACCCTCTTGGACATCTTTGAAACGGGCTGCATCTGGGCAGTTACTTTTACCCGCCTGCTGACCCCTCTTGCTAGTCCAGAGTGTGTGTCTGTGGGTTTTGGAAACAGTACAGTTTCTGAGGTGTTTTGTTTTCAGAGCTGATGGCAGCCCCTTGATTAATCTGACTGTCGAATGCCTTCTCTAGACTTACACCAAGTGTCCATCCCATTTTAGGGATGAGGAGGCCACACCTGGCCGCTCAGGGTCCCGCAGCTGGCATAGACAGAGGTAGAAGGACTTGAGGTGGACTTTAAAAAGCACCATCAAAAGTTGTGTCTAAAGGGTGTGGACGGACAGCAGCCAGCTCAGCTTTCCATTTACCCTTTAGACTTGCTCAGCTGGAATTTGGGGAGCCTGAGGAACTCTGAACTCCCTGCTGACCCCAGGGCATGGCGCTGAGATGGTGGGGACAGGGGCAAGAACCCCCATAATGCACAATAGAGAGATCACCTGAAGCCTGCCTGCCTGTTGGGAGGCTGGTAGTTGAGATGGGTGTGAAGGCCTGGCTGGCGGCTTCGGCTCCTGCAGACCTTGAGTGACATGCCCCTGGGCTGGATGCTTCTCTCCTAATCCTCATTACACGTGTGTGTGTGTGTGTGTGCGCGTGCGCGTGCGCGCGCCTTTTTAAATTGGGGGACTATTTTTGTACCTGTCATACCTGTTCCCCACTCCACCCCCCTTTAAAACGTTAATTGCTGAAGAGGAGGACGGGGCACCTCTAGGTCTCAGAGAGTCCTCACTCATTGTAAGGATTTGGTATGAGTTTCTAAATGAGCGAACCTCCTTACAGTGTCTTAACCTTGATTCCTCCTGTCAAGAATTTTCTCCTCTCATCTCCTGGGCACCCTTTCCCTCTGCCTAGATCAAATGGTAGCAAAACTCTGGGGAGTGAATCTTGGAGCAGATGGGATCCCTGGGAAGCACAGGATGAAGTAATGACACGGTTTAAGCTGTGTCACCCTGGGCAAGCCCCTGCCCTCATTGTGACCTTCCACTTCCTAAATTGCAGGGGGGGTGGGAACAGAACCCAACTTACTTCGTTTTCACAAGTGGCCCTTTTGAGAAGGGTGTAACGTTTGAGCTTCCATTATACCTTTCTTTAGAGATAGGCAAGGGTGCCCCAAGGGGTGTCATCACGTGGAGCTTGGTGGGAGTAGGGTTGGTCACCCCCTTTCTCTGAGGAAGTGGGAGAGGTGATCAGAATTTTCTAATCGAAAAAGTAGGAATTGTGTGCCCAGTGCCCAGAGGAGTGGGAAGCCTTAAGGTAGATTGGGGAGAACGTATTTATCAGCACCCCTTGCCATGACCTTTGTTCTTCCAAAATGCTTTTAAAAGTAATAATTAAGCAAATGTCATCTTACCCATTTTTTGCATTGTTCTCTTATCCCACCCTGCACCGCCTCCCACATATACACTGATTTTATTTTTCCTGGTTTGAAACTATTGAGACTGACAGGGACTTAAGTAATATTGGGTTCCCATCACGATAGGCTAGCGTTAAACGATTGTTTTACTTGTAGGGAAGAACTGAATTGTATAAATTGTATAAGTTGCCTGTACTGGACAAATATTGCCTAGTGAAAAAATTAACCTCTTAAAGGAAAAAAAAAATCTCAAGTCGTAATACTTCCCATGTGTATCTCACAAATGTCCTCATTGAAAACTCTGCCTCAAATAGCATGAATTGATGAAGGAAAGGGAGGGTGATTAGAGAATCTAGATTCCCAGCTAAGTAACTTACCCGTTGATAACTGAAGCCACAGGCAAGATACTTATTTTGTAAATGGGGATATAACTTTTGGAAGCCATCCAAGGCCCAGCTGCTTCAATAACTCTCTCCTCCCTCTTTTGGAGTGGAAAATATTGAAAGCCTGAGAATACTCAGAGCATACAGATGGCGAGGCAGAGGACTTGAGCGCTGATTTTCATATATTTAAATTAAATATATTTTAATGATGCTCGCTTAAAGAGAATTTGTGAGCTGTGTTTTAAAGATCTGTAGACACTGGCCACGTTAAGTCTTTCAGAGACTCCCTAGTCCTTGTCTTTAAAATGAGTTTTAAAGGCTGTGCTTTCCTGTTAAGTACACAAAGGAAATACTACTTTAGAGTGCGGCTCCTCTCTGGGGGAGAAGCTGTATCCTTCCTTTCTTTCTGTCTGTTTGCTTTCAGCTGGCACCAGGGGCTGCTAAGCACAAAGAGGCACTTGCTTAGTGTGGTGGTTCCATCGTGGAGGGAATGTCAAGAATGTTGGTTATCTTTAGACCTGCTTCATTCTTAACAGAGAAGAGAGAAATGAAATAGTGCCACTCTCGCTGGGAAGAAGGTCCCAGCCGTGGGGTCCTGCAGAAGTGACCGCAGAAGCTGAACCATGGGAATGGCCCCCATGCCCCCCATGCGGGTCACGCCAGCTAACATGGGGCAGGGCTTCTCTGCAGCTTTCAGAGGCTGCTTGAAAATTCAAGTGAATGTTCCATTTATTTGCAACCGTATCAGCTGTTATGGAAACACCTAGATTCTGACACCCCTCCCCCCCTCCCCAGCACAGTCAAGTTTTTCATCTGGACACGCTTTCCTACTGACTGTTCTAGTAGCTGGTCATGTCCTTCTGAACGTTAGACATGAGTAAGGGAGAGACACAGAATAACAGTGATAGCACCACAGGCCATTTGAAGAGGGTTGCTTATACCTCCTTTCTTTGTCCTGAGGTGGTGGTTCTTGTGGGAGGCAGTTTGTGGGATGGGGGGCGGCGCAGGGTCTGGAGTGAGGGCCTCTTCATGGGCCAAGCTTTGTAGCAGCTAGCTGAGGCTTTGTGTAGATAAGCTCAAGTGTTTCAAACAGGGTGGGAGAGTGGAACAATCTAAATTTAAACTATAGAAACAACATTTTCTCTAAAAATTGTTCCCGTTTTTAAGAGGCGTAGGTGGATCCTGTGAATTCTGTGATAAGGCACATGCTTTTCTGACATCCTACTTATGTCAAAACATTTCTAGGGACTTTCATGGGGGGCGGGGAAGGGTTCTTTTCAGGCTGCAGATTGGGGTGGGGACTCCTTTTTTGTCTTTTCACTTACAGAATTTTGAGGATGCTTAGGCTGACTTTTTTTTAATGAGAAGATGAAAAGGTCCCTGTTCTTAAGTGAGCCCTAAACATATTTAAATTTGATACTTAATGACTTCTTTGTCAAGCTAAGAATTTAAATAAAAGTAGCTAGTATTTAGGTGTATTATATTACTTAGTCCTCTCAAAAACACTGAGTGAGCTAGGCACTATTATTCTCTCCATGCTAGAGAAGAAGAAAATTGAAACTTAGGAATTAGTGATTTGCCCAAGGACACACAGCTGGTAAGTGGTAGCGCCCAGATTTTTAACTCAGACCTGCGTGGTTCGGAATGCAAAGGCCTAAGTTCATAATGTAAAGCTGGTTTTCTTCTTTCGGTGGAAAAGATGGAATGCCGCAGTCTAGACATTCTGACAGCACAGTCCTCTCCCTGTTCACCCCAAATGGAAGTGACTGCTGGCGGGCCATCCTGAGGCTTGTCACGACTTTCCCGCTGGTCTCAATGCCCTGAGGTGCTCGCAGATGGCAGGGCTTGAGCTTATGATGGCAGCATTAATAATAGATAGGTTGCTTGGCTTCGTCTGTGGCATGAGCGCATAAATTTCCATGAGCATTATCCCAACGACTCTTCAACATGGTGGCTGCCCGAAACGCCGCCGAAATGCCCTGCTCCCGAATCTTCGGTGTCCAGACACTGTTCCTAATTCCCAAACACACCTTTCCCACATTCTCCTGTAGGTTGGACGTGATAAATATGAACCCGCAGCCGTGTCGGATCATGGCGACAAAAAAAAGGCCAAGAAAGAAAGGGATATGGATGAACTCAAGAAAGAAGTTACTATGGTAAGTACTAGGAGGGCTGTTGTTTCCTGTTCCCCTTCTTCAAACTGAATTGTATCTTAATATATCATTTGAGCATATGATTTGCTCTCCAACTCTCATCCCATCTTTCAGTCAGACTTAAATAAATAAAGCGATCATTGCGCTTGCACAGACCTTCCTGAATTGTAGAGGCATGGGGATGGAAAATTCGCATTTTAAACGCTGGTAGAAGTTTGGAAAAGTTTTCAACCACACCGGCATCACCGAAGGTCCACAGAGGAATTGTGCTAGAGGCGTGGGCCTTTGCTTTTCTGTGTGTCTGGATTACACATTGGGCACTTCCAGCCTCTTTAGCTGACTGTGGAGGCTCCCACTCTGGCAGCTTGTCCAGAGTCTGCTTGGTCATCAGAGAAGGTGAGGGAGGTTTCCCTAGCTCTTTAAGACCAAAGATTTTCTCAGGAGTGAAATGGAACCCATCAGGCTTGGGAGAGCCAGCAAATGATAGTGATCAGTGGCACTGATGCTCTTTCAAAATCTTTATTTTTTTTTTTATTATGGTACAGTGTTTAATTCTTTGTTTCTGCTTTCCGTTAGGATGACCATAAACTTAGCCTTGATGAACTTCATCGCAAATACGGAACAGACTTGAGCCGAGTAAGTTTCACTTTGCAACATTTTATACAGAATCCTAATTTCCTCTTACCCATTTCCCCCCACACCACAGGCCTAAGCTCGGGGACTCTAGGAGGAGAGTAACGACAGCCACCATCTGAGTGTCCGCCGTGTGACATGCACAGAGCTAGGGCTTTCCTGTGCTTTTTAAATGTTTTGTTTCCAATGAGTGGAGCACCAGGGCTGGAGACCGAGGAGCTCCAAAGCCTGTTCCTTCCCCAGCCTTTGATTACAGATCTCCCCGTTATTCTTTACATGTTACATTGGGTTGAACCTTCCCGCAATTCACATTTTTGCCCTTCACCCGTGAGCTCATTGCAGTATGTCAGAATCTTGGTTCTTCTGTCACTTATTTCAAACTTGTTTTTTACACAGTCCCAAGAAACCTCTCAGTCAAGTATGCTGTTGCATCTCCTTGGTACCAAGGGGATTTCGATATGAAATTTGCCACAAACAATCTAAAAGTAAACCGTTGGAGGAGGGGTGAAGCTTGTTATTTCTAGACAACTACTAAACATTCTGGGGAGTAACTTGAATCCTAGCTAATGTGTAGCCATTATTTCAATAAATTATCAAGTTCTAAGCACGCGTGCTGGCCTGGGCCCCTGAGCTCTGAGAGGAGGCCTAGGTAGACTCTGAGGCCTCTCTGACAGTTACTGTTGGGCCATCTCTGCACGCATCACATGAGCGGGTCGTCTCACTTAAGTTTTATGAGATTCTGAGAAAGGATGTTCTCTGCGGCCCTGCATCTGTTACTCCAGTGCTGTGGGTCGGTTTCCTTACTTGTAAAATGGTATTCGTAATACCCAAAAAGGCTTATCGTGAGCATCAGACAAGTTAATTTGAAGCCCTGGGTTCTTTGCCTGGCACGCAGATATCGTTCAGACCTCTGGTGGTGGTGGTGGTTTCTCTTCTGCCCAAGGATCACGTACATCATGAACTTGAGACAGAGGAGGGAGGCTCCTAAATACGTCCTCGTTTTCCCTTACTGTTTGATTTTCCTTTCCCCTTTCTCCACACTCTCTAGTTAACTCAAATATTAAAAATAACACGAACCCAAACTACGTCTTAACAGACACTTTGGGTAAAAATGTGATGTCTTTTTTTTTCTTACTCGATATTTTGATAGTGTGAAAGTAATCATATTTTCCCCTTGTAACAGGAGACATGTCTACTGTCTGCTGTCGGTGAATCTTGGTTTTAAGGCCCATTAGAAAATAGAGGGGACACTTTTCAATTGACAGGTGTCGTAGGGGTTAGTTAAAATACGCATGTGTATGAACTCTTCCCTGCCAGATAATTGTTTTAATTATTATCCAAAGAATAAAGATCTATACTTAAAACTTGGCTGTTAACTCAATAATAGGTTAGACTCCAACAGAGATTTTTTTTTTCTCCTTTGATGTTTATAGAGGGTTTTTCCCGCTCCCTGACAGATTGAATACACAGAAAATTCAAAGCTCTTAATTTGCAAAGTTGAATCAACTAGTTACAATAGATATCTTTTGGGTAAGAAATGGAACTTAGCATGAATCCCTTAATTGAAAACTTAGAAGAGACAGACTGGATTCAAATTTGTCCATGGATCAATTTTTAAAAAGAATTTTGGTCTTGCTGTGGGCTCCCCAGGAAACTTCGGGCTGTTGTTTGTCTAAAGCTTATGGGGATCACCGAAATTTGGCATGTTTTACCTTTGCTTGGGAACCGTTTCCGCCTAAATCCTTCATTGCAGCTTTTCCAGCTATCAGGTAGTTATATTGCCTTGTAAGGACTGGAGCAGTTTGTTTTATTTACATGCCTCTACTTCCCAGGGCTTAACCACTGCTCGAGCTGCTGAGATCCTGGCCCGTGATGGTCCCAACGCCCTCACCCCCCCTCCCACCACTCCAGAATGGGTCAAATTCTGTCGGCAGCTTTTTGGGGGGTTCTCAATGTTACTGTGGATTGGAGCGATTCTCTGTTTCCTGGCTTATGGCATCCAAGCTGCCACGGAAGAGGAACCTCAAAATGATAATGTGAGTTGTGTGGTTCCTAATTTGAATTATTGGGTGCGTATAAAGTATCCTCTCGGTCTTTGCCATCTGCTTATTTTTCTTTTTTACAATTTTATTTATTTTATTTTTCAATTACACTTGACATTCAATATTATATTAGTTTACAGCATAGGGGTAAGACTTGTTTATATAACTTACGAAGTGATCCCCCGATCAGTCTAGTACCCACCTGGCCCTGTACGTTCAATACAGTATTATTGACTATATTCCCTCTGCTGTACTTTACATCCCCGTGACTATTTTGTAACTGCTAATTTGTACTTCTTCATCCCATCACCTTTTCACCGAGCCCCAAACCCGTTCCATCTGGCAACTCAGTTACCACTAGTTTCTGGGTGGTTTTAAACACCGGGGAAATGGAGTGTCAGTAACTGTTGCCCTTCAAGTCCCGGCCATTCCTCCTCCTCAGATTCGGGTTTCTCTCCCCTGCAGGGGCTCTTGCAGGCGGGATGTCCACACGGCACGTTGCTTCTTGAACACGCAGGTCCTCATCTGTACCGGCTGCCATTCTCTAGGCGACAGAGCACAGCTTTAATATGTGCACATACCCATGTTCAGAAATGTTTGGTAGCCATTTCTCAAAAGTCACAAGTTCTGAAAATATCTCTGTTGTAATAAAGCAGCAAAAACTGATTCATCTAGAACATTCCAAAAGTCTGTCAAATTAGTGACCATGTCTGTGCGACTCCTTTTCTGACCTTCCTGTAGATACGGTCTCTAGAAAGATAACTATGGAGATGTGAGTTCTATGTTTCTGAAGCCTCGATCTCTCTGTTACACATCTGTTTTTCATTCCATCAAAAATTAAATAAATGTTTCCAGTTCTTCACTCGGAGCCGTGCGGTTCTAACTGAGGTCCTGACTTGTTTGTTCCCTCCCAGCTGTATCTCGGTGTGGTGCTGTCTGCTGTCGTCATCATAACGGGTTGTTTCTCCTACTATCAAGAAGCTAAAAGTTCAAAGATCATGGAATCCTTCAAAAACATGGTTCCGCAGGTACCCGCTGCTTTGTCCTTCCCCATCGGGTGATTTGACAGCCCCAAGAATGGGAACTAGAGTGAAGTTCAGGTTCTCCAAGACAGTGACTCCCTCAGAGAGAGGGGTGCTTGTACCTCCCACCCAAAATGACACCCAAAAGTGACAGTCTTCCCTGTGAACAGACCCAGAAAGAGCGAGCACGCTAGCGATGAGAGCACTGCCTCTCAGATAACGGCGGACCAAGCTTTAGGATTTAATATGGATAAAAAGATTGATAGTCTCTCTGTTGGTACAGATGAAGATTATCTTGGTTACACATGCAGATAACTAGGATTATGGGTCATTCGTAGCTTGCGTTTCTTGTTTGGAAACCTTCTCGTTGGTACCTATCTTGATCTGACTTTAATGGCGTGACTGTTTTCTGCTTCCAAAGCAAGCCCTGGTGATTCGAAACGGTGAAAAAATGAGCATAAATGCAGAGGAAGTCGTCGTCGGGGATCTGGTGGAAGTGAAAGGAGGCGATCGCATCCCCGCTGATCTCAGAATTATATCCGCAAACGGCTGCAAGGTAGGTTGACCCCGGCCGGGCAGGCTGACCTCTGCTGTTGGGACAGGGCAGCCTGTGACAAGGCCAGTGTAACTCACGACACTCCTCGCCTTCTCACTGATAGGTGGATAACTCCTCGCTCACCGGTGAATCGGAACCCCAGACCAGGTCTCCGGATTTCACAAATGAGAACCCGCTGGAGACAAGGAACATTGCTTTCTTCTCCACCAACTGCGTTGAAGGTAAATCATTTTCAGGCATTGTTCTGCACGGCGTGGCCTTGGCTGTTAGCAAAACCCGAAAAAGCCATCACAGGATTGCTCTTCTCAGTTTAGTGACTCTCTTTCTGGCCGTTCCACTCATGCACAGAGCAGAGGTGGTTCCCCTGCTGGCAGGGAGCCGGCCACCTCCTCATCCTCTACCTCCTGCGTTGCCCATTCTGTGGGCAGCGCTAATGCAGCCTGGAGTTTGGAGCCGCTTCCTGCTAATGGATAGAAATCCCTTTGCCACAGCCTCTGTGGTTTAAAACAAACAGCATGTTTGAAAACAGAGAGCTGGCCCTTAACAACATGTGTGTTCCTGCCCCTTTTTAACCATGCCAGGGAGTTGTGCCCATCCTGTGGCTTCGTGGGTAAAAGTAGGTACGATTCCCCCTCCCCCTCTTTTTTAAAGGCACTGCCCGGGGCGTCGTCGTGTACACTGGGGACCGCACCGTGATGGGAAGAATTGCCACCCTCGCTTCTGGGCTGGAAGGGGGCCAGACTCCCATCGCCGCAGAAATTGAGCATTTTATCCACCTCATCACGGGTGTGGCTGTGTTCCTGGGGGTGTCCTTCTTCATCCTTTCGCTGATCCTCGAGTATACCTGGCTCGAGGCTGTCATCTTCCTTATCGGCATCATTGTAGCCAATGTGCCAGAAGGTCTGCTGGCCACTGTCACGGTAAGAGGCTCGGGAGAGCCATGTTCGCTCGGGGTTGACTCAGGTCAGCTCATGTGAGTGCAAGACTCAGCCACTCCCCTGTCCCAAGGGGCCGCCTCTTACGTTTTATTGCATGTTTGTAGAGAGATGTTCTTGAGAGCCACATGGTGGGGTTGGTTAGACAGTGGGAGGACCTCAGCGTGGTTTTATATGGAGGATAGTAACCCAAAAGCATAAACTTCGTTCGATATCATCACACAATCCAAAACAGCGTAAAGGGAAAAGGAGAACTTGGTGGGTGAGTGGGGGAAATCGTATGTGCCTAATCCTGGCTATTTTCGCTTAATATAGTGCTTATTTGGGGGGAGGGGAAAGCCCCATATACATGTTACCAGCACTGTTTCTTCAGACTTCGCAGGAAAGTTGGAGAGTTAATTGTAGACAAATTCCTTCTCTATTAGGATGTAGCCAGGATTTGTGCAGCTAGCACTCCAGCCCAATTGAGATTGAAGTAATCTGGTCCCTAACGTGTTTTTAGGTGTGTCTGACCCTTACTGCGAAACGCATGGCCAGGAAGAACTGCTTAGTGAAAAACTTAGAGGCTGTGGAGACCCTGGGGTCCACGTCCACCATCTGCTCGGATAAAACTGGAACCCTGACTCAGAACCGGATGACGGTGGCCCACATGTGGTTTGACAATCAGATCCATGAAGCCGACACGACGGAGAATCAGAGTGGTAAGACGGGGACCCACCCCACCCTTGAGCCGCTGCTGTTCACGCTGCTGCCTTTTTAACTCATTTGGTAAAGAGTCAAGGGCATAGGTTTTAGGGTTTTTTGTTGTTTGGTGGGGTTTTTTTTGGTATGTCAATAGAAAAATTGAATTTGCCTTACAAATGTGGTTGGAAAATGCCTAAGACCTGATTAGTTTAATTATTTGGGAAATGACACATGGCAGCGTTTCCATTTTTATGGGACTTGAATGTCAAGTTAATCATTATTTTCCTGTCTTCTCTTCTTGCCGCCATCAGGTGTCTCATTCGACAAGTCTTCAGCCACCTGGCTCGCTCTGTCCAGGATTGCTGGTCTTTGTAACAGGGCCGTGTTCCAGGCCAACCAGGAAAACCTACCTATCCTTAAGGTACACTCGGGAGTTCCTAGGCTGCTTCGGGGTCTGTAGATCCCACACAAGGGTCACCACGGGAGTGCTCCTTTTAAACAGTGACCTTTGTGGTCCATAAATAGCTCTTCCTTGGAGGACACTGGGAATGGTCCAAGGGACACTTTGTTGTGTGTTAACTTGCACTGCCGCGAACTCTCCAAGTACTGTCAGTGTTCGTGGTCCATATAGGTTGGGAAAAAGGGGAATTTACAGTTTAAAACAGACCAAAGGTGGGTAGAGGGAGGTGGGTGGGAGGCAGTCTTTCTCGGTGCAAAGCCTAGTTTTACTGCTCTAACTTAATATGCTAAGACCTAACCTCACAGACAGTGGGGGCTACTTGTGGGGCTTGATAATTGCATTTGCATGTTAGGATGCAGTAGATTCCAATACATCCCTTAAGCCATTTGGTTTCTTAAAATAGCTTAGCTATTTCTCTTCTTATCTTACAAGTTCTGAGCTTGCTTGCTAATGATGCAGAAATAAGCTCAGCCTCATGGAATGCACATGAAATCCGAAGTGGGATTTTGCTGTGTTGCCCTGTGAAGACAGTCTCGGAAAGGCCATGAGCTGGACAAGGTCCTTAAGGACAAGGACAGGGAAGAGCCGTGGGAGGCCCTGGGGCTCCCTGGTTCTCCGCCAGACCGCCTGTGGTAGCTAGCTCTGGGTCGAAACTCAGTTGTCAAAGAAAAAGGTGGAGATGGAACTGAGATAGATGGCTTCGGCTATGCAGACAGAGCTCCTTCATTCTCTAAAGGAGATTGTCTTGTCATTGAACTGACGTTGATTCCAGGAGGGTGTTGTTATCTTAGGATAAGACTTCAGATGCCTGCATCATGTTTTTCCTTGCCTCAAAAAGGAAGTTCTCTAGGCCGTGAGCACGAGGTGGGGATGCGCGCGCATCACATCTTTCCTGATGTACAAACCCCAGAGAGGTGGCTTGAGATGTTACTTCTAAGTCTTTCAGGAGTTGAGGCTATGTTAATGGCATTCCCCCACCCCCCACCAGCATCAGGTGGCAGCCCTATTCTGCTTTAATAACTGGCTTTTATTAAAAATGGTTTCATTTATTTTATGTGTCTTACCAAACCCCGCCTCCCTTCTGATTAAACAGGGCCCCTGTATTTGTAAGTGAGCATTCATTTCTTCATCTGTAAATGGAGCCTTGCAGGTCTCAAGCTCTAAAAAGTTTATGTAAAAGTTTACAACTGAAAATGTTTTTAGTGTGTCAAAATGTGTGCGTGTCACACCGGAAGCATATCACACAAAAGCGACGTACGTGTTACCTAAAGTGTGGGTTTCAGGTAAAACATTACTGTGGGAGCAGATAATCGCTTTTGGTTCACATCTTAAGGCCCAGCTATTTTTGCACAGTTATGTTTAGAATATAGAGTCCTCTGCTCTGCCCTTGACACAGTTTGTCCCCAGGCCTGAGAACCAAAGGCATTTTCTTCTAAATTGTGGGGCAGCGCACGGTGCTGGAAATGTTTCCTTTCTCGCTAGGTATGTTCACATTCATACCCAGAGATTTGTGTTTGGGAATCGTGTTGGCTTTGAGACTTTTCAACAGGGAAAGATAAAAAATAGGCTAAAGTAGGTGGGAAGGGTGTGTTTTGCTTCTCCAGAGAGTAGGTGACATCTTCAGGTGCCTTTCTTTTACCAGAAGCCAGTTTGGGATGGGGTGGGGGAGGGCTGGCAAGGAGGAGGGGTGGGAGTTTGCCTCTGACGGGGTGGTGCAGGCTAAAGCGAGCCCTGTCACTCCCCACCTGCTGCCTCCCTCGTCCCTGTGTCGCAGCGGTGCCTGGGTGAAGCGTTTTCAGGGGGATTTACAGGTGATGTCTCTATTCACAGCGGGCAGTTGCGGGCGACGCCTCGGAGTCAGCACTCTTAAAATGTATTGAGCTGTGCTGCGGTTCTGTGAAGGAGATGAGGGAGCGATACGCCAAAATTGTGGAGATCCCCTTCAATTCCACCAACAAGTACCAGGTCGGCAGAGCTGGGGGGCCACTGGGGTGGGCTACGGGACCGAGAAGGGGTGAGACAGCATGAGTGGGAAGGACCAAGTACCCCTTTTTGGAATTTCACAGGCTTAAATGCTTTTCTAAAATGATTCAGACTTCACTGAAAATCCTAATTGATTGGAATATCAGTAGGATAAATACAGCCTCTTTTAAAGTGTTGTTTGGGCCCCCTGCATACTTACATGTGGTTTGGTGTGGGGAGGCGGGGAGGGGGCCAGCTCAGGGGGCTAGGTGTACAAGCGCATGCCCATCCCTTTGTTCCTGGTTTTTCTTCAGGAAAATTTTGTATCTGCACATGTTCAGGAATTCATAACTCTGTCATTGCGCTTGTTTTTTCTGTAGCGTTGGAAGTATGCTACAAGGTAGGAAGCGCTTCAGAATCCAGACATGAGGGCTGTTGGTGTTTTTCTGCAACAGATATGAAATAGTAACGGAGCTTTGCTTTCCCCCATGGGAGGCCCCACCCACTGACATCTGACCGATCCTTTCCAGCTGTCCATTCATAAGAACCCCAACACGTCTGAGCCCCGACACTTGCTGGTGATGAAAGGTGCTCCGGAGAGGATCCTGGACCGTTGCAGCTCCATCCTGCTGCACGGCAAGGAGCAGGTCCTGGACGAGGAGCTGAAGGACGCCTTCCAGAACGCCTACCTGGAGCTGGGCGGCCTGGGCGAGCGAGTGCTAGGTACCTGGAGAGCCTGGCCACACCCCTGGCCGTCGCACTCGCCTCCGAGCTCGTTCACCCCGCCCCGTAGGCCTTCCTGGAGCAATCCTCCTGTGTCTGTATTTGCCCCCTATTGCTCTGAAGACAGTAGGTGCCGGAGAAAGTGTCCTGAGGGTTGGGCTGCACCGCAGGACCCTGCTCCTTTGCTTTCCGACTCAAACGTAGACCTTTGGCCTCACACTGGTCAGTTCTGTTTGCCAAAAAAAAAGGAGAAGAGTGTCATTTTTTAACCTTTGCCGCTATGTCCGTGATCTCTATACTTAATGAAATTAAAATTAATTCCTAGGGCATTTAGAGTAAAGCCATTTCCTAAATGACATAGAATGGTTATGAATTTACATGGGAACTCAATGCAGTCAGCTCATGAATTAGACGGACAGTCAGCTTTGGGCTACGGACCCTACCTGCCCTTCCTACTCTGCCAGCCACTGCGGATTAAAAGTACTTTTACCGTTGTAGAATATAATTGGGAAGGCGGCATTTACAATATCCTGTAGGCCGACAGATTAAAATCCATCATCGATGTCATTCTGTCTGTTCCCCTTAGCGTGGGTCACTTAAACCCGATGGCCTGGTGCCCCATACTCTGATTTCAGACCTGCTCCTTCTCCAGAGGCGTCTTTCCTATGTCTGTCCAACTGAAAGACCACTCTCCTCTCAAGTGTTTTCTGTTCCTGCACCTCCACTGCCCCAGAGTGGGAGCAGTCTCTCCTGGGAGCTCGTGTGGCGCCTTCACCACTTGAAAGTACGCTGTAGCCTCAGCATCGAAAGGAACGTCTTGAGTGTCACGATTCTTGTATTAATAATACCAGATGATAAACCCTTGGGTAGAATGTGTCTGATCTGCATTTACCCTCAAAGTAGCTAGCGTGACGGCTCCCACTGGTGCTCAGCAATACAGTTTGTTAAATGAATAGTGAGCAGAGATGTGGCCTCGATTTTTCCAGAGAGGGAAGCTGAGACTATGTAATGACATGATGTGCCAAATCTAAGCCACGGGGCGGGCAGGTCTAGAACCCCAAAATCTTGGGGCTCAGAATTTGTGTCATCCTTCAGTCTTCTCCACATGAAAAAGTTCCCTTTCCTCTGAGGCATGGTGATAGAGTCTGTCTATTGCATGAATTTTTTTCCAGTGACTATATCATTCAGAAAAGTTAAACAAAACCTTCGTTCTGTTATAAAATTAGACGTTTAAAAATAGTCCAAAGTAAACATTCAGCAAAAGGTAGACGGCAGGAATAACAGGCCGCCACTGTCCTCTGCTGCCTACGTCACTGAGTCCTCACAGGCTGCCTGGCCTTGCAGGTTTCTGCCACCTCTTCCTGCCGGATGAACAGTTCCCCGAAGGGTTCCAGTTTGACACTGATGACGTGAATTTCCCTGTTGAAAATCTCTGCTTCGTTGGGCTCATCTCCATGATTGACCCTCCGAGGGCTGCTGTCCCCGACGCCGTGGGCAAGTGTCGGAGTGCTGGAATTAAGGTAGTATCCCGTCTGCCTTCTTAGGGTCAACCCCGCGTACCTGGGGCCACCCTGCTATGTGACGTGCTCCCTTGGGGGCCACATGGCCAGCTGGTTTTCTCACCTGGAGGGTGCTCTTCTTTTCGTTTCCACCAAAAAAGACCAAATAGTATGAAAATGGTAGTGTAAACAGATGAGGGATTTTTAAAAAATACTTTTTTGGGGAAAGCAATGTAAGCAAATTAAAAAGCACAAGAGTCGGTAAGGGTTTACATTTTGAAATACTTGCGTTATTTAAATTGATTCATGCAGTGAATGGCGTGTTTCCTGTGTTTTCAGTTAACTGGTTTTTAATGAATGGTTGGTGTACTCTGTACTTTTTTTTTTTTTTTTTTTAAGCTGTGGAATACTATTCAGGTGTCCTGACACCGAGTGGTTGATTCATTTAGTCTTCTCGGTTGCTGGGTGTTGAATGTGTCTCTCTTTAATTCTCATAAGTAATACTGCCCTGAAAAACTCTAAAAATTATCCCCTCATCACTTGGATTATATTATCCTAGGAGTATTCTTCTAAATAGAATCACAGGGTCAAAAAGAGTAGTAACAATTTTGAATTCTTGGTACATATTGCTGTCCCCCCAAATTGGGCCAGTTGGAGGATGCAACCAACAACATGGGGCTCCATGACCCTACAGTGCTACCTGCATTAGAGTTTTATCATTTTTTGCTTGTTTTGGTAAACTTGAGTATTTTCATATAACTGTGTAACAGGAAAAACAGATATTGTGTATCCTCTGCGATCGTGTACCATGATAAAAATCGGGGTATTGGCTTTGTTTTCATTCTGTGAATATGTTAGTATTTTGAGCTAGTGAATGTTTGTCAGGTTCATATTTGCATTCCTTTTCTTTTGATTTTCCAAGCTGAATCATCCTTAATATTTAGTTATGCCTGACTATTTATGTAAGACTTCTTAAGGATATTTGCTTAGCTGCTGCATTCAGTAAACTTTCCTGGCTCTTACTGTAGGTCATCATGGTCACCGGAGACCATCCGATCACAGCCAAAGCCATTGCCAAGGGTGTGGGCATCATCTCAGAGGGCAATGAGACTGTAGAAGACATCGCCGCCCGCCTCAACATCCCAGTGAGCCAGGTGAACCCCAGGTACGGCAGGACGCTGGAAGCATCGTCTGCCTTGAGTAACGTGCAAATGGTGCTGGTCGGAAGTCTTCGGCCTCGTTCGATGATGGTTCGCTTCTATTCTAGGCTTGCTCTCAACAGGGACTGTCTGCCCAGCGCCAGAAGCAGTGGTAGCAAGTCATCAGAAGCACTGCGTAGCTGGTGCTCACCTGTCCCGAGCACCAGATATGGGAACCCATTAAGGGCGGCGTTAGCCCCGCTTTGCAGAGCAGGGAAGCTGAGGCTGGCTCGCGCATCCACGCAGCCGGCTAGCTTCCAGTTTCCCGCCGTTCGCCCCGGGGTCGTACTCCCTAGCACTTCATCAGACTTCCAGGCCCACACTAACAAAAAACGGGGAAGGCACCACTGCCCAGGTTCAGGCCAAAAAGGGGAAACTTGGACAATAAAATAAAACAGATAATGGAGATAGGGTTTTTTTCTTTGTCGTGTTTTGTTAGGGTTTAGGGCCCTCACCCCAACTTTGGGGGTTCGGGGATGGTTTGGTCTCTCGTCCACTCTGCTGCTGTCTAAAACATGGTCATACTACTTCAGTGTGTCTTTCATAAAGACAGGGAAAGGAAGATGACAGACAGGCAGGCCTTGCCACAGGTGGCTGTGAGTCCTGAATGAGCAGTACGTGAAAGTGCTTTGTACCCTGTGAAGCACTGTACAGATACCAGCTTTTACATCACGGGGCGCTTCCCCCGCTGGGCATTGTCCACGCAGCGTTCTGCACAGGACAGCAGCGTTCTTCTTGGGGATGAGCGTCATGCGGGTGACGTGATGGGTGACCTTTTTTCCCGGTTCTTACCCTAGAGATGCCAAGGCCTGCGTGGTCCATGGAAGCGACCTGAAGGACATGACCTCCGAGCAGCTGGATGACATTCTGAAGTACCACACAGAGATCGTGTTTGCCAGGACTTCTCCTCAGCAAAAGCTAATCATTGTGGAGGGCTGCCAGCGACAGGTCAGTCAGTGTGCAGCCGGGGTCAGGCTCCACGAGGGGGCCACTGACCAGCGGTAACCATTCCCACAAAAACAAAAAACAAAGCAGCAGTGTTGGAAACACGACCCAGCGTTTCTCAGTAAGAAGCACCAGGCACAGAAGAGGGACTTGATAATTTAGTGGAGACACACACCTAACAGTACCGGTCTTGATTGTGGGCCTGGGTCGGAGCCTCAGCACTGGCCTGGAAGGAATAGTCAGCCGAGCTCCTGATGTCTGCACCGGCCAGGTGAAGAGCCAGGAGACTCGTCCCACACCTTGGAAAGACCGGGGCTAGGGAGGTTGCGTAAGAGAAGGGGGTTTTCTGGAGTGCCACTCACCAAAGCCATGACTTAGAGTCACCCTCATTCATGGGGTGATATGTTTGCTGTCACTCCTTAGTTCTGTTGTTTGGTAGCAGCTGGGTGGGTTCTTGGCTGAGGCGGTTCTGAGAGTCCCCATAGCCTATGGGAAAGGAGCAATGTCTGTCATGCGGAGAGACTTACTTCTGTCTCCAGACGCCATGATTCTTAACCCACACCCCTTCTGGCAGGGTGCTATTGTAGCTGTAACTGGCGACGGTGTAAATGACTCTCCGGCTCTGAAGAAGGCGGACATTGGGGTTGCCATGGGAATTGCTGGCTCCGACGTGTCTAAGCAAGCTGCCGACATGATTCTCCTAGATGACAACTTTGCTTCAATTGTGACTGGAGTAGAGGAAGGTGAGAGCGCTACTTCAGTGTTCAGCAGAAACTGGCCCTGATGCTGCCAGTCAGTGTCCATGTCTGTCACTTGTGGAGCTTGCTTGCGCAGTGTCTGGTCTGCCGCTTTCTGCTGTACAGTGAAAACTTCTCGCTTTCTTAGGTCGTCTGATCTTCGATAACTTGAAGAAATCCATTGCCTACACCCTAACCAGTAACATTCCAGAGATCACCCCCTTCCTGATATTTATTATCGCCAACATTCCACTACCCCTGGGGACAGTCACAATTCTCTGCATTGACTTGGGCACAGACATGGTGAGTGTCACAGCATCCACACATTCTAGTGTCACGGTATGACATCAGTGCCCGCCATTGCCCTTAGGAAAAGAAATTCTCAGCAGCGATATCCAGCATCAAAGATTCAATGTCATCATTCTTACGAGGCAACTGCCAACCCCTATTGATCAGATAGGAATCTTCCCTTGTGTATAATTTTTGCTGTGGCTTTTAAATGTGACCTATGATTTCCCACGGCGTGAAAAACAGATTTTTAAAGGGGAGGGCAAGATTTTATAGCAAAGGTTCACCATGTCGGTTTCTCATTTCTTGATACCTTGTTCTCGCCCTTCCTCCCAGGTTCCTGCCATCTCCCTGGCCTATGAGCAAGCTGAGAGTGACATCATGAAGAGACAGCCCAGAAACCCTAAAACGGACAAACTCGTGAACGAGCGGCTGATCAGCATGGCCTATGGACAGATTGGTGAGCAGGACGCTGGCGAATTTAGATCTGTAGTGGCGGTGTCGGCCTCAGGTTTCTGAGCCTCCAGATCTCGGGTGTCTTTCCCCCCAACACCTAGGGTGAGACTGGAGATTTCTGAAGACTCTTTTCCCAGCTGCCCAGTTCTTTTGTGGGAGCTGCAGTTCTAAGCATCACTCTGCCTGAGAACTGAGGATGGCCGCCTCATTTAGCCTGTGCGAATGCCTGGCATAGTATCAGGGAAATGCGTGCATCCCCTGGGAGACCAGTATTGGTCACTAATTTGCATAGAGAGGTTGGCTTTGAAAAAAATGAGGTCACCACCAAATGGTCACCTGCATCCCCACCCCCACCCCCAGCACTTGATTTCTGTTCCAACCTGTGGAGCAGCAACAGCTAACAGGTGTTCTGGGCAGTGGGCAAGGAAAATGCCCTTTGATCCCAAATCCTCCACCAGTCTCCTTCAGGGGAACCTGGGGAAGCCACCCGGAGCCACTTCGTCTGGGTTCCTGGGCTGCGAACACTTGGGGAAAAAGGAACAGATTAGTACCTTATGGAAATATGGGAAGGATTAATTTGACAGTTGCTGACAACAAAGTAATAGGCTGGCAGCCAGGGAGACCTAGTTTTGAGCAGAGGGAAGGACCAGGCCCAGAGCGAAGGATGAAATTTTGTCCTGAGACATTTTGGGGAGTGTGGTTGGATTGGGTGCCAGGGGAAAAGGGTCCTGCAAGTGCCATTCTTTGCACAGCGGCTGGCAAAAGGGCAATGTGTAAAAACTGAGAGATTAAGAGGTAGAGAGGCAGATTTTTCTCCCCAAGGGTTATGCCCCGAAGTAGGCAGGTGGTTAAGTAATAGAGGTGGGTGTTGAAGGGAGGCCTTGTGTCGTCTCCTGTTAAGCTCTGAAAACGTGATTTAGAGGGGAGATCCCTGGGCCCTCCATGTTCCCGGTCACAGCGACGAGCCTTTATGAACCAGTGAGAGACCTCGCTCAGGGGCCCCTGCAGGCCTGCCGCCCTGGCCAGGGGAAGGGTGTCGGGCTCAAGTGCTGAAGTTGATTTTCCCACCTGTCAGGTATGATCCAGGCCCTGGGGGGCTTCTTCACTTACTTTGTGATTCTGGCTGAGAACGGCTTTCTCCCGATTCACCTGCTGGGCATCCGCGTGGACTGGGATGACCGCTGGGTCAATGATGTGGAGGACAGCTATGGGCAGCAGTGGGTGAGCGAGCTCCTCCAGCCCGAGGCGGGTGGCCAGCAGCCAGCAGGCGCAGAGCCAGGCTCAGCTGTCCGCCTTCTGCATTTCAGACCTACGAGCAGAGGAAGATCGTGGAGTTCACCTGCCACACCGCCTTCTTTGTCAGCATCGTGGTGGTGCAGTGGGCCGACTTGGTCATCTGTAAGACCAGGAGGAACTCGGTCTTCCAGCAGGGCATGAAGTGAGTAGAGAAGGACCGGCAGGGTCCCTGGTGGTCTCTCAGCCCTGTGCGAAAAGCCCAGCACCCACACGTGGCGAGGTGTCGGGAGCACATTGGGGAAGCAAAATGGGACCTTCCCAGGTTTTCCCCACCTGACCCCGAGTTCCTAAATACAGCTAATCAGCCATTTAACACAGCATGAGAAGATAAACTTCGGTTTGCAATTTTTTAAGCATTTTCCGTCCCCCTTGATTTTAGGAACAAGATCTTGATATTTGGCCTCTTTGAAGAGACGGCCCTCGCTGCTTTCCTTTCCTACTGCCCCGGAATGGGTGTTGCCCTAAGGATGTACCCCCTCAAGTAAGTCAATCTCCCCCAGCCCCCAAAAGTGGGAAACAGCAAGTGTGGCTTTTCCTCTCGTGACGTGCAGCAGGCAGTGGCTGCCGTGGGAACGTGTGGGTGGCATGTGCAAGAATTCCTGTGGGTGGGAAATCAGCAAAGGCCGAGTTGCCTGCAAATCAGACACCAGGTGGGTCTCCAGTGCTTGGGATTTGGCCTAAGGTAGGGGGCAGGCTCTGGTTCCTGCGAGTGCTCACGGCTCACCTGTGTTAGCACTCAGGGCCCCCCCCCCAGCCATAGTCCATTTGTCTTTAGGGGGATCCTGGAGTTTGGGGGCCCAGATTTAAATCTTGATTTGCTTACCTAGTCACTGTGTCCCCTCGCAAGCCCCCACCTCTGTGGGCCTCTGCATCTGCTCGCCAAGGAAGAAGAGTGGAGCAGCTGGCCTGAGGTCCCTTTGGCTTTACGCTTGGTCAGAGGAAGCCAGCCCCCATTCTGGTCAGGCCCAGCCTGGCCTTAAACACAGCAACTGACTGTGATTCTGGTAAACCTGGGTTTTCACCTACAGGGTTTGCCACAAACTCCAGTGGCTTTTTGAAATCCTGAGTGTGTTTGTTATCTGCTCGCTGGTGGAGGTTAAGAGCTGCAACCTGATTAAAATATGCTGAGCCACAGAATGTGGGACCCATCCAACATGAGCTGTTGCTTTAAAACACCCGTCTCCCCATCCTTGCTCAGACCCATGTGGACATCTCTCCACAAAGCTTGATGCCATCAGCTCCCGTCACTGCGCTCGTCCTTACAGGAGCCAAACCCTGTTGGCTTCATGGACGCCCTGTTCTGTGTGTGCAGCAGATATGGGCTGTGTGCCAGGGCAGCCTGGGTCTCCCGTTACGGTCCTAGCCTGCTTTTCTAGCCTTACCTTCTACCATTCACGCTTACGTTAGGTGAATTGCATGCTCTCTTCCCCGCCTGTGTATTTGGTAGGGCTGTTCCCTCGCACCCTGTCAATCCTGATAGTCCTTCGAGGCTGGTTGCCTTAGTGTTTGTCGCCATGCGGTCTCACTCTCCCGGGTGTGTGCAGTTGCGCCTTCTCTGTGGCATTACTTCTGTTCCCCACTCACTAGATGATCATCTTAAAGGCATGGACCACAGTGTCGTCTTCTGATTTAGTATCCCCAGCACAGAGGTGGCATACAGTGGGGGCAAGCCACGTCCACGTTGACGTCTAGCATCTTGGGCCACTGTTGAACAAGAGGCGGCCAGAGCGCTCTAAAGGCTCAAGTGGGACATCACACTTAAAATAGGGTGGTGCCTCTTGTTAGGACTGGACAGGCTCTACCCAGTTTGGAAGGTGGTTTAGTTACCCTGGAGCCTGAGTCAAGCAAGGACATGTTTCAGCTGCTGGGGAGGACACACAGGACCGGCGACGGGGACGGCCAGACTTCTGCCCTGGGACAGCTTTCCTCATGGTGGCTGTGGGAAGCTGGTCGGCAGGAAAACGGCCCCCCGACGGAGGCTGCCCAGGGCGCCTGCCCGTCTCCAGGCTGGGGGTTGTGGCAGCGGCCGCTCGGCTCCCAAAGGCCCTGGTCTCTGGGAGGGCTCAGCCTTTTCATTCCCCACGCCTGGCACACTGAACGCATGTCCCACATGCCGTTGTCAGAGACCAAACTCGGGACGAGTGAACGGGTCTAGACCCACACGGCTAGCTCTGTAACTTCAAATGCCAGGGCATCAGACGTGCATTTGAACTTAAACACTTTCAAAAGGGAAGAGAGAGAAGGTCCAGTTGCCCTGGGAGTGTCAACAAAAGAATCTAAACTTACCCTACAAACCAACTCTGACACAAAGCGCACTGAAGGTGGGTTGGGGATTGACTCCGTCATAAAGCCTGCAGCCTGACTTCGGGCTCCAGGCCCTGGGCACACAGCGGCAGGCTGATCTCAGGCATTTGTGTGTTCTGTATTCATGGCTCTGTGGTCACCACGAAGGTGCTTGGCTTCTCCTTTCAGGCTGGCTATCTCATTGTCACTGGCAATGTGCAGCCTGTCTCTCCTCCTCTGTCCATGTGTAAAATGGTATCCGGTTCTGTTTCCAGACCTACCTGGTGGTTCTGTGCCTTCCCCTACTCGCTTCTCATCTTCGTGTACGACGAAGTCAGGAAACTCATCATCAGGCGAAGCCCTGGAGGTGAGTCACAGGCATTTTTAGTTGGGTGGAGGGCACGGCTGTAACTCGGTGGGCTTCTGTTACGTTTCCTGTGAGGAGTCTGAGCTGCCTCCTGCAAAGGCCATTGGACCAGCCACCTGTAAACTGACAACAGTTGCAGTCCAGCCTCAAAATCAAATCTCAATTAAGGTTTTAGAACTGAGCAAATTACAAACCAAATACAGTGCAGTGGAAACTTTGTCAGAAATCTAAACCGTCTTTCCAGTTAACATGCTGTTCTTAAAAGCATTGAAATAACTATACAGTTGCGGCCCCACATTGAATTGGGGCGTTCCCCTCAGGTCGGGTCTGCTCACTTTTTCCCTGTGTACACTAGAGCGAGGAAGGCTCACCGTCACCCTCTCTGTCTCTCTCTGCTGCCCGCAGGCTGGGTGGAGAAGGAAACCTACTATTAGACCCCCGTCCTGCACGCCACAGAGCATCATGCCTCACACTCTGCACCCCTCACCCGCCCCCTCTGTGTACTTCAGTCTTGGAATTTGGAATTCTACCCTGGTATGAAAGCACCGAAGCATGTGGGGAAAGCCAGACGTCCCCGAATGAAGCATGTAGCTATATGGGGGGGGGGAGGGGGGGCTGCCTGACAAACATCCATCTGTGGGAATGACAGTGGGGAAGGTTTTTATGTGCCTTTTTGTTTTTGTAAAAAGGAAAACTCGGAAAGACTGAAAGAATACATTTTATATCAGGATTTTTACAAATAAAGATGGCTATTATAATGGAATTTGTCTTGTGCCCTCGTCACTTCTGTGGACCCGAGGTCTGTGTCTGACGGCCTGGCCCCTGGCGGGGCTGTGGGCCGGCCGCTGCAGCACCGTGACCTGGGAACGTGTTAGCATGGCAAACCCAGAGCCGCTGAGCCAGAAGTCAGCCAGCGGTCAGCTTTAATAAGCTCTCCAGGTGATACCGATTCAACAACTGCAGTTTCAGACCCACTGAGAAGCTTTCCGTGCTCTTGGTCTGCGTACAGGGGCTCACGTGACGCCTCTTCCCGTGGCTCCCCCGGGTGGTATGGGTGTGACCCCCCTCCTGCTGCTGCCTTAGCATCTGCCTAATAGAAATAACTTGTCCCGGGAAGGATCTTCAGGCCCTCAGTATACTAAACGGCAGGGGAGGCCCCTCTCTTCCCATCCTAGTCACAGCCCCGCCTGCTCAGGGCCCCACAACAGCCTCAAGTGTCTCTTAGTCTGAGGAGCAGAGACCTGCGCTCCACGTTCTGTCGGGGCATGTGTGTGCATCAGAGTGCGTCCCTTCCACACGACTGGTTCCTGCTTTAGCTTTAGAGAGCTCCGTTTCAGAAAGCGGATACGTGCCAGAAGGCACAAGAAAAAGGTGAAAGAGATCCGTTTACTTCACGGTCAAGTGGGAGCGTGCCTTCTGCTTTCAAAGGGTCTGAAAGACCCCGCTCTGCACGCCACCCCGCGTGCTGTGGGCACCCACATGGCCCTGGATCCAAGCAGATACAAGGCCTTCCCTTCTGGCACCAAGCAATGGGCATGGCCTGCCAGAGGAGCCGAGGCTGGGGCCAAGTGTTTCCTCGGAAGAGCTTAAAGAGCTCATGCCTCCTGAGGGACCACCGGGCAGATGGCAGGGGAACAGGTGGTTCTCATACTGGCCGGCCACTGTCCTCTAGCTTGTCCAGCTAAAGGAACTGGAAGGGTGGGGGTTCTGTCGGTGAGCTCTTCGTCTAACCCGCTGGTTCCTCCCTCCTTTCTTCCAGGAGGATCTCTACGTGTAGGCAAGTCCTCTAAAGAGGGCCACTTGTTCAGTCCAGTGTGGAAACGGGTGAAGCTGTAGAACTAGGACCCTCAGGATTAGAGGGCTCTGACACAAGTGGCAGCCGGCTCCTCCCTGAGGGCGCCTTGGACTTCACCGGCTCAGTTGTGACGATAGGAACGAGGCGCCACCACCGTGTGCCTCTTAGACCATCTGAGTCTTGTCAGAGGTTTGCCGCGCCTCCCCCCGCCTCCCCGTGGCTATTTTCTGGCACCCCTGAAGAGCTGACCCATGAGCACAGTACTGTAATTAAGGTCATGGACATTCCCTGAGTTAAAAGAATTTTGAAGCAGCCTGAGACCAGCTAGACTCGAGATGACCCCAGGTAGGTTCCGAGCCAGGCTTTTCAGACAGCCTGGGAATACCCAGAGGGGAGGGCAGAGCAGGCAAAGGGGGGCTGAGCCTCCCACCCTCTGCACCAGAATGTTTCTGTTTGACAATCCTTAGAATAAAAAGTTCTAGAGCAAAACATTCCAGAGGCAGCAGATAAGTGACGGGTAAAGCTGGTACCAAAACCAGGCCTCCCGTTCGGCTGATCTTTCCAAACTTTCCAACAGCAGCAAGAGCGGATACCTCGGATCATTTCTACCTGAGGAGCTCAGAATTGCTGCAGAAAAATGAACAGAGCCAGCTCCTGAATACTGACCCCGTCTTTCTACCCTTACAAATGTGCAACGCAACCATCCTGGCCGCCCTCTGAAGCCCTCCTGACACTTGACCACGTGCTGCTTTGGCCATCTCAACATCTGCGCTCTTGCCAGTTATTTTTGGTGTCCTTACTGACGCCTCACCTCTGTCTAGCTCTCATTGTCTTTCTGTTCACAGACAAACATCTAAGAAGTCACCATCGCTTCTTCCCTCTACTTGCTCACCTCTCAATCATCTAATCCCTCCACCTCCTCCGGCTTCTGTTAACACCAGTCTGCCGAAACTGTCCTGGTTGGAGATGCCACTGACCTCGTGATTGTTAAACTCAGTGGGCACTTCCCAGTCCTTTCTGGGCCTCTGCAGCACCTAGGTCTCCATCACACGCTTCCGGAAACCAGATAGACGCCTTTTCATTCCACCATCATGTCTGCTCACTCCATAGCTCCCACCCTCCCATACCTGCTCCTGGGCAGTTAGTTCCCTCGGGGAGGTCTTCACCCGCTTCCCTCTGTCTGCTTCATATTCTTCCTGGGGTTTCACAACATAATGTCCCCTACATGATGCTTTCCAACACTGCTCTGGTCTCCTGAGCCCCAGCCCCATAAATGCAGCTGTTTCCTGGACATCGGTATTTGTGCAGAAAGAGCACAGCACGCTGGAACCTCAACTCCAGTGACACAAGCCTGAGTTTGAGGTCCCTCAAGAAGAACATGCTCTATGGCCATTGACATCTGTCACCCGGTTGCCCAAGTCAGACACCTGGAAATCATGTGAGACTTCTCGCCCTTACCTTGCTGTGGCCCCTGCCACCGAGTCAGTCACCAATCACGGGTGATTCCAGTGTGGTGGCTGAGAACATGGGCTTTGTGTTAACAGCCTAGCCGCAGATGGTGGCCCTGTCACTTACCAACCATGGGCACAGAAATGTGGCCGCTTTGTGCTTCATTGACTCGAATAAGGCTGATGTTTCAGAGTTGTGAAAAGGGTTAAGTGAGATTATATGAAAAAGGGCTTAACACAGTGGCTGATGCTCAATAAATCCTTATCTCTACCGCCACTGCCCTTTCACATCTGGGATCCAAAACAGCCTCCTGGATTTTCTCTTCCTCTTACTTTCTGCCGTCCTCTAATCCAGTGATTCTCAAAGCATTGTCTCTAGCCAGCTTCCCCTGGGAAGTGCTTAGGAAAGCACATTCTAATTCAGACCTACTAAATCAGAAATTCGAGGTTACCCAGCAATCTTCTGATGAGCCTTCTAGGTGATTCTGATGCATCTCAAAACCTGAGCACCATTGCCCTCCCCATCTTCCAAGCTCCACGAGGCTGCCTATTCACACTCCAGCCCAGCACATGACCCCATTTCTGCTCAGCCATGCAAGCTCCTGTCCTATACACCGCTTGCCTCCCCTGCCGTGCTACAAGACCCCCTTGGCATCACCCTTCCAATCTACCCACCTTGGCCCAAGCTGCATTCTCATTAATCGACTCGCCCTTCCCGGTGCCACTCAGGCCTTTTCTCCTCGGGAAAGGCTCAGTGGGCCCTCGCTTCTGCACACCTCGCTGTGGCACGTAGGCCTGTTTCCTCACCCGGGAACGAGACTTCCTGAGAACAATGGACTTGGCCATACCCTGCCCGACATCGGGCACAATCTGCTTATTGAATGCTTGTTACCAGACTTTGTGTCTGCTGCCCAAGCAGCCATATTTTAACACTTCGCCCTCACCTTGAGTCTCATTTTTTTTACATCAGGACTGACACTCACCCAAGGGAAAGCTATGCCCCAGCTGCCGGCAATCCGAATCGGGGCCTCTGCCGCTCTCTCAAGACTTTGAAGGTGGAAATCAAAGTGTGTGAAGAATGGCTCATGCATGAAATTAGGATGCCAAGTGGGAGACCGGGCGTCTACCAGCCAAGCAATGGTGGAAGGTAAAGAGACAGACACCGAGAGGGCGCAGGTCCTTGGACCTGTGGGTTCCAGAGGTTTTGAATCCGTGTCCTGGGCCTCAAATGAGCTCAAAGAAACCTTTCCCACCCATTAGATAGCTGATTAGTATTCTACTTCCTCATAGAGCTCACAATTCTAACTTTATTAATTAATAGTAATTAATTCCCTGCTAACATAAAGCTTCAGGAGGTCTGGCAGCCTGTCCATCCTTTTCCGTTTGATCCCTGGTGCTCAGCTCAGTACCTTAGAAAGAGAAGTTGGCACTTAGCACAGTGGCCCATACTCCCTATGTAAAGAGAAGGGTGGGTTCCCGTTAAAGATGGTGACATAGGAAGACCCTTAACTCACCTCCTGGCACAGACACACTGAATCTACCGCTATATATGGAACAATTTCCTCTGGGAAAAAAACCCCTAAAAGCTAACTAAGCAACTCCTACATATGGGGCAAGTGAGAAAAGCCCACATCGAAGTGGGTAGGAAAATCGGAGACACAATCTCGCCATAAACCCCACCCCTAATTCAGCGACCCACAATCAGGTCAAGACTCACATCTCTGAGCCTCTCCCTGAGGAGCAAAGGGTTTGAACCCCACATCAGGCACCCTGACTTTTAAGACTTGCACCTGAAAGATGAGACCCCCAAACATCTAGCTTTGAAAACAGATGGGGTTCACATCCACAAGACCCACAAGGCTATAATGAAATAAGAAATGGCTTTTAAAGTGTTCATGTGCTGGGATTCACTCAGAGGCTAGCACAGAGGCAGCCGACGGAGAGGCACCCAGACTTTATGTGAAGGAGGCTTATTGGCTTATCTTAAAGGGTCAGCCTAAGGGGTAGGCATCTAATTGAATACACACCTAGAGACCTGCTGGGGTGCTCTCTTGGGGTGGGCGCTGGTGGACACCATCTCTGTACTCTCACTGCCTCACTCTAGCTGTTGGGCACCATCTTAGCACTTTCCCTCTAACTTGCCTCAGCTTGCCAGTATCTCCCAGAAAGGAGCCTGTCCCCTTCCTCTGGCACCCCATTTTTTGGCTGCTGCCCAGGGCACACCTGTAGATCAACTGGCTCTCTCTGGTGGCCAGTGGGGCTTAAGCTCAAGGGTCTCACAAAACTGTAACCAAGGGAGAACGAGTTCTTAATGGCTCGAGGCAACAGTCCAAGGAGCCCAATCTTTCTGTGAAGGAGGCCTATTTATTAGTTTCTCTTCATCGCTGTGGCCAGAGGGGCAGGCTTCTAATTAAGCACATCTCTAAGGGCCTATGGTAATCCTTTCCAGAGACCTCAGGAGGCAGGTGCCATCTTCACGCTCTCTCTCTGCCATGCTCCAGAGCACTGGAATCTCCTGGA